TGAATTTTGCACTTCTGTTTTTCATATTTATTGAAGTACAAATATTACTATAATTTCCAATGGTTGTTTGTAACATGGGAACCTTTTTATTGCCTGCCATAGCCCTCCCCCCATCTTCCCTCATTTCACCCACCATTATGGTCGTACTACTGACTGACCTGTCTGCCCCATTATATTCTAATTCACCCTCCCCCCTTCAATGCAAGTTTAAATACTCCTCTAACCTTCCCATAAACCTCTTGCCCAGCACAACAGACCCCCTTCCATTTAGATGCAATCCATCTTTAGGTTTATAGGGTGTACTCCAATGAAAAGTCAGCCAAGTGCTCTAGAAACCCAAATCCTTCACAAGCAATATTCCAGAGGATATAACCTTGGATGTCCCTCCCTTCAACTTGCAGCCTCATTTTTTATAAAGACTCTTAAGGAGCCTCCACCTTCCATGTATTTTTTTCATTGGTCCCAACATGGACCAAGACACCTGGGCCATGCCCAGCTACTCCCAGCAATTTATCAATACAGTCCACCACATGCCAAACCCTAGCACCAGGGAGACAGCAAAGAATTTGGTTGAGGCTATTCTGGAACAAATTATTCTATCAGTCTTTCTGATTATAGAATCCCCTATTACTACCAACTGTCTAGGCCTATCTGCAATACCCTCACCAGCCCTACTAATTTGGTTGCTCTCCTGGCTGTTAGGGATAGCAATGACATCTAGGTTCTGCTACATCTGAGTTTGTTACCTCTACATCTTCACCCAACGTGGCACATTTTTTTGACTGCTCAAACACAGGACTGGCCTTCCTTTACTGTGAGCCCCTACCACTCCCTCTAGCTGCATTAACTTCTTCTTACCTGATAGTCTTGACTTATCCCTCCATTCTCCACAACAACCCCATTAACCACCTTCTCAGTTAGCAGAAGACTCCTTTCAAGGTTGATGTTTGACTTAGTGTTGCAATCTGCTTTTCCAGATCTTTAAGGTAAGCATCCAGAAGGGCTACCTGCTCATATGTGTCTCAGCAGTATTCATCCTGGAGCTGTTGCTCCATTATTGTATACATGTGGCATTGAGCAAAACCTTCAACTTTGCTATCCCAGTTACAATATTAAAATTGCAGGAAATTTAAGATGTTACTTACAGGTTAGAAGACTCCTGTTTTAATCTCCTATTTTTGCTTCCTGCTTTTTAACTCGTCACTTGGTCAAATTTCCACTTTGTCAAAGTTCCAACCAGCAAAATGTGAAGGTATATAGCACCTGTAGCACCTGAGAAGAATTAACCACTCCCCTTAATTAACAGACTAAAGGAAGGAAAAAATGCTGTTTTTAAAGTGACTCCAAAAGCTGCAAAAGGTTCCTAAAGAAGAAGACAAAACACGCATCCGCAAACACAAACAACCACCATCAGCCAAAAGCACAACCCCTGCCCTCAACTCTTCACCTAGTCAAATCCCCACTCCACCAAAAGTCCAGCCAGCAAAAAATGAGAAAACTAGTATTGTAGATACTTCAAAACCCACTTAATGGCCAGACACTTTACCAGCTCCAGCGGTCTGCACAAAACCTGTTTCAAACTTTGTAAAGCTTCTTCATCATTACATTCTACTCTTCTCCAATGGAGTTCTTGCCTCTGGTCAGGTTCTTTTATGATGCTGCTACAGTGCATAAAATGTATAATGAATCTACAATAGTACCCAAATATACCTGGGAACATTTTCATTTGATTCTTGGTGACAGGAGCAGGCCACTACCTGATTGGACCTTATGGATTTGGGGTAATATTTGCAAATTTTTGCTGTTGGAGTTCAAGATAAGTTGCACTTCAGGAAGGTGACTTTCACAGTCACCTAAACTGGCTCCTCTATCTTTCCAGGTCTTAATCAGATTTACATGATAAATTTGCTCTTTTTTTCAATTTATCTGGCTGGTACACCTTGTAGTTCACCTCACACACTCATTGCACCTCATAAGGGCCCTGCTACTTGACCAGAAACTCACTTTCTACTGTGAAAACTAAGACAAGCACTGGAAAATTTGTCATCCTGCTACTACCTGACTTGACTTGCTACTACTTCTTACTTTGGGCCCCCTGAGCCTGTTGCAGATGTTCCCTAACAGTGGGGGGTCATAACCAGCTGCATATTTTTTGTGAGGTAAACAAGGCATTTGCCTAGGGTGCAAGGAGCAAGCCATCCCTTCAGTTGGAGTTGAAGAGGACCCAGTTGCCCCGACCGTTACATCCTTCATGCCATAGTAGCACTCTCTTTCCCGTTCTCTCCCTCCAGAGCCACACTTCACCCAGAGCTGCCCTCATTGCCCCCGCTATGTTTACAGGGCATGGCATCTCCAGCACAGTGGGCACAACTGGAGGCATGCACAGGGTAGTGCCTGGAGAGGGAGATCACCGGCTGGGGAGGCTGCTGTCAGATCAGATCAGGGGAAGAAGTGGGCACACAGCACTTGTCACAGATCCTTCACTACACAGCAGCTGTCAATTAAACTTTGGCATAGTCTCAAGGAGCAGTCCTCCTTGCCACTGGATGCATCCTCCCCCAGTGACTGCCTACTTCCCTCATAGTACCAAGCTTCAGCAAAAAAGTAAAAGATCCACTGCAATTGATAGCCGATCATCAATAAAGTGAGTTATGGGGCTGCGCTGTCATCAGCTGTCAGTGGAACCTGAAGATGATCCCATCAGCCTGGAACTGAACACAGGCTGGAATTCCCTTGCTCTGTGCACAGGAGGGGCGACAGCATTCAATGCAAACACAAGAGATCCCACAGCGTCGTGAGCGGGGGTAGGTTGCAGCGGGGTGCTGGTGGGGTGGGAGGCCCCCAATTTTAGTGTTGCCTAGGGCAGCACAAGGGATAAATACACCACTGGTCACAACATCATTACAACCTGGAATTCCTTTGTTCTGTCACACTCATATATTATTTGTACATTTTCCCAAGTTTTTTAGCAGCATTTAACAAACCATGGGGATGCTGTCCATACAAGTGTTCAAATGTAGAGAACCTCATTGAAGACTGTGAGACTTCTTGGATTGTAAATAGAAATTGGGTACCAGAAAGTCCCAATCTTTCCCATCTCAGTTTACCACCTTATTCAGCATACTTTTCAGAGGTTTATTAAACCTTTCCACTAACCTATATGTTTGGGGTCTGCAATTATTAATATTTAAGAAATTACATTATTTTATAACCACTAACAGGCAGTCCCTTGGGAGCTCCGTGCAGGTAAAAACGTGGAACAACCTTCTGGTAATAGTTTTGGAGGAGGTATTTCTTAAAGAAACAGCCTCTGGATAATGGATGACAGAATCCATCATAACAATGTACAGGTGTCCTCTACATGACATTAAGAGGAAATTAGAAAATAATTTTTAACCCCCCCAAGGGACCTAGAACACTTGCCCCTATGCCAATTGGTATTGTTGCAAAATGTCAGATTTCTGTGGTAGTAAGACTTTATAGAAGGCTAACTAAAGGTTCCTCAGAACATAGGGTCTATGCCCCAGCCTGCTTCTCAGTCTCAGTCCAGAAGTACATCCAGCTGATGATAAGGACACTACTCATGTATGCAGGGCATAGATGGCTGGAGATAGAAGAGTTTCTGGGAAAAGAGCCAAGGTAAACTGTGACACAAAACAGCATGATCAAACAGCTTGAATAAGAGGAGAGTACACTTTGGACACTCAGAAAAAGCACTATGGCATCTGAAAGCATCCAATGTTTGCCCTAACGCACAATGTATACACATGAACAATTCAGCCTGCAAGCTGTGCAGATAAGCAGCAAACACCCCTATCTTTAACTAGCCTACAATAAGGTGCACATGGAAGGGGTTTAGCACATTACAACAAAAAAAACTTCCAGTACACTTACCAGCTAGCCTGCAAAAAAACAAAAAAAAAATTAGCTTTGTCTAACAGTTCATGTCAAAGAAAGTTTCATTGCACACCTTTGCAAATATATGTGAAAGTCACAGTGCCTCTTCAAGGCTCCTTTATATTCTGTGGTCCCAACTATATAGTTTTGAAAGTCTCCAAGTTGGAGCACATATAGCAGTAGATCAAATTAGGGAAGGTTTTGCCTGGAGAAGGCCCACTCATCCTTAAAGGTGCAGGGCCACATTGGACACCAAGCAAAAGCACAATGCCAGCTTAAAGCATCCAATGTGTCCCCACACACAATTGAGACAACAAGCTGTGGAACCAACCCAATATACAGTATAACTAGCCTTTACAGCAAGATGCTCATGGAAGGGATTTAACACATTGCAAACAACAATAAAAAATCCCAGCACATTTACCAACTAGCCTGAACCATGGTAACCAGGCTATCAGAGTCTGGAAGAGTAAGTACATTGTTTCCTCCTTTCTTGACCACACAGTTCAGCATGAAGGGATCTGCAACTAGACCTGGGTGAGCAATCAGAGACATGTGCATGGCAGTGTCACAATCCAAAGGGACCTGGGACAGAGCACACTGTCAACACTGTATTGGCCACCAGTTTCAGCTGGGCTCCCAGTGCCAGGCCTCTCTGTACACTAATACTGCTTATTGACTTTTGTAGACCTCTCAGCTTCATCCAATTTAAGGTCCTCCCTGACCGTGGAAACCAGGTTACTTGTTACAGAAGTAGGAAATAGCATCCTCTCTGCAGGTGCAGAGCTGGCATGAAGGATCAGCATCTAGATCCATCAGTTAGTCTGCTGAATGTGGGGAATTTAGGTCTGCCTGGCTTACCCATACCCTTAGTGTTGATGGCAGGGCCCGAAGAAAGTGTTCTAGTATACCCCTCTCCACAATTTGGGCCATGGTGAAACTCTCTGGAGCCAGACACTTCTTTATAAGACACATACGTTCTGGCATGTGGGAAAGGGGTGGCTCTCCTACCCAACAGGTTCAGTGGCATAAATGTTTGGCACATACATTCATGACCCAAAAGCATCAGTAGATTTTGGTTTTCACCTTCTCATAGTCATGGGCAGGGGCGGACTGACAACTCATGGGGCCCCCGGGCAATAGGGGATCATGGGGGCCCTGTGTCCTTGCCCACACTCAAAGCACACTCAAAAAAGCCTATAAAAGTTACCAGGGGCATTTCATGGGGTCCCCTACTGACCCCGGGCCCTCGGGCAGTGCCCGAGTGCTCGAATGGTCAGTCCGCCCCTGGTCATGGGTCTTCTCCAGGACCAGGTCCAAGCAAATTTTCTGGAGTTCTCCACAAAGGAACAGGATCAGTAGCTCTGTCCACTGCTCTTAGGGACTCTATGTGGCATATCATTTGTGTACAGAATGAATTTGGGTGAAAACAGAGACCTCTGTAGCTTGGGCTATAAGTTGTAGTACCACCTGAGTTAGGCTACGTTCACACTAGCCTTGTGTGCAGGCGGCAGAGAGGCGTTTGGGAAGCGTTTTTACCGCTTCCCAAACGCCTCTGCCAACTCTGCACATTACAGCACATGGTGCTGTTCTAACAGGAGCGTTTGCGTCGCGGCAAAACGGACGCCTCTGGTCGAGTCAGGAGGCTTTGAAGCCTCCTATTTTCGTCTATGGTGCCGCTCCGCAAACGCCCGGCCGGCGTTTGCGGTGCGGTTGCGGGGCGTTTGCGGAGCGGTAACATCACTCAAATGCATTATAGGCGTTTGTGGGGCGTTATTAACGCTCGGCAAACGCCTAGCAACCGCCGCTAAACCGCGCATGCGGCGTTTGCGGAGCGTTTGCCGAGCGTTAAAAATGCTCCGCAAACACCGGACCAACGCTTGCCAAACGCTATAGGGGCGTTTGGCAAGCGTTGGCAAAACAGCCTAGTGTGAACGAGCCCTTAGAGTATGTCAGTCCCTCACTGCTATCTGAGCCAAAGCAGTCACCTGAACTTCCAAAAGTTTATTAGATTCTTGCTGAGTTGCATTAGACTGTCGGTCTATTAGTTTCTTGTTGTTGTGCCAAAATCTTTGGCTGCTGTGCCAGGTTCTGCTGATGAGCTTGTTGCTAGGCAGCATTATCCTGTAGCAATTCCTTTATGAAGTCCTCCATGCTGCAAATTCACAATTTCCACCACTCAAAAATACAGTATACAGTTACTACAAACAGTATGGTTCTGCACAAAGTATGAACACTTCAGAACAAGCAGGATTATAGTGTTTACTGAGTATCTCCAGCAAATACATACAATTGGTGCACTATCCCTTTAAACGTGACAGATTGACAACCGTTACCACATTTAAAGTTCTCTACTACGTTTAGCACAAAACATACACAGTCTATAACAAGAATATTTACTTAAAAACAGATGGCAGCTACCTTTAGGCAGAGTGAGATTCACTTGTTTATGTGTCTTTTTACCCTTGCACTATGAGATGTCATCACTAGGGGGTGTTGCTGGTGGGTGGGACTTTGGGTATCTTAACAGCTTCCCAGCCACCCTTTAGCAGAAATACTGTTACAGGATGGCACGGGTGCACAAAATCACATATATATATACGTGATTTTGCATCTCCGGGTAGGGGTTGCACACGCACTACTCGCACTGCTATTCACGGCCGCAACTGTCAATCACCAGGCCCCGGCCAGTAATTACTTGCCAGGGATCCCAGGGATTTCCATGGATTTCCAGGGATCTCCAACGGGGAGATCCTCCTCCCTGTCAGCTCGGGAACACTGCTGTGGATGGCTGTGCACAGTAGGATGATGACCAGCGTGGATATAAATTAAAGTGTAGTTTCTGAAGAGCCTTTTTAAACTTTCTCCTCTCCTCCCAGGCAGTAAACCAAGTTTCAGCATGTGAACAGTAACAAAAACAAACATCCCATAGTGTAAAACCACAAAAAAACTTTAAAGATGGGGAGAAATTATAAGAATAAAACTCACAAGCAAAGTGCCCGTAACCTGGCAGTCAGTGTTTTCAGCCTGGCTGCCTGTGAATAGGAAAGTGCCATAAGGCACTTCCTGATGACGATCCATTGATCGAAACCGATCGAGGTTTGATGACGCAACTTCTGCTGACATAATTTCCGCCCTTTGGAATGCACGCTGTAATGCTGCAGCCATCTTGGTTCCTATTCCATCTGTGCTATAAAAAGGGAGTGGGCTGAGGTCCTAGGCTGCTGATTTTCCCATCTAGACTCAACTTGGAGAAGGAACTGCTACATCTAGCAGTCCGCTACAGACACCGGGGGTTCTGGAGAATCACCAACAATGGACTACTACTGTCAGGCTCCGCCCAACGGGATCTCTAGTGGTCCACAGAACGGGATTCCCCAGGGCGCGGAGTCTAAGTCCCAGTCTGCCTTTTCACCAGAGCCCCAGATGGTGGGGATGGACTTGATGCATGACTGGAACCAGGTCGCGACCCCTGGGTGCACCCAACTATGGTAGAGGGTCCCGCTGAGGGTATGTGCCCGGGATGAGCCTGCTGTAAAGCGGATGACAGGTCCAGGTCTGAGCGGGATGGATGACTGCCAGGAGTGAGCGTGGTCAGACTAGCCGGGTCGGTAACAGTGGGGACAGATGCGGTACCAAGCAGCAGACAAAATAGTAGTCAGGTCACATGCCGGGTTCCATAACAGAGGGTCAAAATAGTAGTAACGACAGGCAAAGAATAGTCAGGAACAAGCCGGGGTCAGAACAGGAGAGGGTCAGCCTAAATCAGAACAGGCAGACTTTGGCAACAAGGAAACGTACTAGCAGGAACATGGGAACAGGAACAAGACCTTGCGGCAATTTGGAGATGCACAGGGCAGGTTTAAATAGGGCGCCCTGTGTTCTCATTGGTGCGGCCACGATCGCTAGTGCGCATGCGCGGCCGCCGCCACGATCTCTGTGTTCGCCGGCTAGGAAGAATCGGCAATCTGCGCATGCGCGCAACGCTGAGCGCCGGGATCCCTGACAACTACCTACAGTATAGTGACTACCACCTTTTGAAGAAATGCCAAGAGGCAGCCAAAATATGTAGTTAGCAATAGGGTTTGGAGATTTTTCACATTGAACTGTTATGCTGAAGTTCCGTCAATAAAGTTATATTTACTTTTTTGAGCCTGGTCTGAAGTTATGCAAAGGGGTACATATTGGTTCTGGCAAATTCAAAATGCCAACCGTGGAAATGTTCTTGAAGAAAGGGAGGCCTTGTAAAGTGTTGGGGCAACATTCTGTCATTTGCACAACAGGTCTGGTTACTGTCAAGGTTGAGCCAAGTATTAGGCAAGATATATGGAGCATACTGGACAGTCTACGGACAGTGTTTTAAAGGAGACCAATTGGAAGCCAGCCACCTTGATACCCATATATGTGGGAAAAGCGCAGTAGAGCTCCATGAGATAAGAGGTCTAATTATTTGGCTGTGGCTTCTGTTGTTTATGAAATAAAATTTGCTTTGGAGTTTATGGTGATACTGGATTCATCTGCTTTCCACTTTTGGTTTTACTTCCAAGGCTTGGTAGGCCTTTTATGGCCACAAATGTCTGGTGAGTGAGTATATTTACTACACATGGTAGATCACTTTGGATTAAGGAAGAATCATGGTTGAACTGGATGGACTTTTGTCTTTTTTGCAGCCAGACTAACAGACTAAGTATGTAAAGAATCAATTTTCCACTGTCACTTAAAAGCAAGGTGATTGGAAGATATATACACAGTATATGGACATTATTTGTTATGTGCAACTGTGTGCACTTTTTTTTTTCATTAAATATTTAAGTGGACATTTAGTCATTAGTTTATTCACATTTTGAATAGGCTGCTGCGCCTGCATTTCCCGCAGAAAAAGGTGCATGCACCTTTTTCAAAACGTGGCCACAGGAAAATTTGCATGGTGCTTTTGACCATGTGATTTCCCTGTGGTTCCCAAACCCTAAAATGCGCTGTGGGTTAGGATGTGTGGGGCTGCCATTAAGCATGAATGGCAGCCCCAAGTGTTTAAGAGCAGGTGGTTGTGGGTGGGAGAATAGCTGTAATCATCTGCCACAGTGCAGGCAATTGTGAACCTAGCCTTAGAGACTGGAGACAGGAGATAGTAAAAAACCACAGACATGTTACAAGAGATGGTCAGAAATTGTGGACATTCTACCAAAGAATGTCAGTGACTGTGGAATTCTATAGGTGTTGTTGGAGAATGGAGACATGCTTCAGGAGACAGTCATAGACTGGCAATACATTATATGAGACTGTTAGAAATCACTGCAATTACAGCCCCTTTAAAAATCAATCATTCCATATTTTTGTTCACTACATTTTTATGAATTTTCAAACTTGAACTTGAATTTGAACAAGCAGGACTGTTACAGATAGAGATAGATTAATGTACACATATGAACAACTCTCTTATTGAAGGGCGATAGAATAAAACATGTCACATATAGAACACTACTAGACAAATGCTGTATAAAACAAGAACACAACAAGAAATACTATCAGGGTTGAAGGTGTGTCCCATGATCTAGGAAGTACACATCAGAGTGGATTATGTAGGAGATGAAAAGAGGAAGCACAGACTACGATACCTTATCCCAATCCAAGTCCACCTCAACCCCCCCCCCCCCCCCCCCAAAGAAAGCAAATGAGGAAAAGGGAAAGGAAATAAAGAGAGGTAAAGGGGGGGGGGAATTCACTCCCCCAACGTGCCTCTCACCGCCACCCTCTACAAGAACAATAATTCTGGGCTAAAAGAGGGCGGCAGATACAATTCAATCTAAGGGTCCCATATTTTGCAAAACAAAGTCATTTTGTCTAGCAACCATTTTTTCGAAGACTATTATTTGGGGAATTGGTGCTGGACTTCAGCAAATTGGATGGTCAGGATCCTCCATGCTTTTGTTTTAACTATCTTTGCAGTCATAAGAATATACTGTATGTAACTTGTCTGAATTGAGTATTGGTACATTCCTCATGGTGTCTGTTCAAAAGAGCTTTGAAAGGGTTCTTATGGAAAGATTTACCCATAACCATATAGAGCATTTGATAAACCCTAATCCAAAATCTTCTAACTTTCTGGCAATACCACCAACTATGTTTGAAATAACTATCCGTATGGCATACCCAAAAAAAACACTTAGGAGACTGGGGTGGGATTGCACAGGAAATTCTCAAGGGGACAAGGTACCACTGAAGGAGGACTTTATATATTGCTTCCACAGCTAACACTTGGGTGGAACTCTTAGCCACTTTTGCCCACATCAGGCCCATTTGTAGCTTCCTAAGACATCATCACACTTGGCCGTGTAGGAGGGAAGGGTAGTGACTGTTGAAGAGGACAATAAAGAGTGCATCCAGTCTTATTCAAGAGTGCACCCTCAGAAGCAGGAGAGAGGAAAAGTCAGTGATATTTGGGGTTTATGATTGTAAAAAATGCTTGATTTTCAAGTACTGGAAGATGTCTCTAGATAGAAGCTTACATGTATCCTTTAAAGTTTAAAATGGAAGGGTGTCTAATTCACTCAAAAAGTGAGTGGTTAGCTATAAGCCATAGCAAAGCTATGTGTGAAATACAGATGAAGAGGTAAAACCCAGCATAAAAGAGAGGTTGTCCAATATCAAAAACAAAGGGCTATGTGGTAAGAACAATTTATATTTACAGCAGGTTTTAAGTTATTCCACACCCCCAAGGAGTGTTTTGTAATTGAACAAAATAGTGGTCCCCGTTCATCTTTATTGATATAAAATCACAAAAATAAGCTTCCAGGGAGACCCATAAGAGACCTCCTTTAGGGGACTGCCAGTATGCCAGTTGGCCCACTTGGTAGTAGTATTGTAATAGAAGGGGGAAGTCTTGAAGCCTACATGGTCAGTGCCTTATACTGTCAAAGAGACTCTGCCAGGCACCTAGAATTTTCCAGCAATGCAGCCTTCATATTTTTATGAAATAGAAGATATAGGTATACACTGTGGCCATTAAGTTTGGTCAGGCCATAAGAGATGTGGCCAGTTGATTTTAAAGATGGTTGGACCTATACTGCATTATCTATCCCATGTTGTTGGGGATTTCAAGGTAGAGATCTTTCTAGTTTGTAATACATCCCAATAGTGATTCAAACTACTAACATAGACATTGTCATCATCACCAGATCTCAAGGTTAGAGTTCCTAATGCATTTATTCAAATGCACATGCAGATTGGATATGTACTTTTGTCCTAAGGAGTGAATACAGTGATAAATATACTGAACATTTTTATGATAGGCATCTAGCAGAAAAGATCCATATCACCATCTTGGTTACTCTAGGTTACATCTAGGTTACTCTTTCATCAAGAAGGAGGACCCTTTGAAATGTACAATCTATGAAGATCCATGATTTTTGAGCTCATAGATTCTGTTGCACATTTTGATATTCTTGTCTGATAACATAGGACACATTTATGAGTTCCTTATTGTGCCTTTTGAGGGAGGGTTATTTATGTGCACATACTTATTGTGCCTTTGGAGGGAGGTTTATTTATGTGCACATACTATTATATTTGCCATCACAATGCATATATGTTTTTTATTGGGCTGGTTCACCTTCCTTGTATAAGCTCGTTGTCTCTTTTCTGGACAATTTTGCCCCGGGGTGATAGCAATGTTGAAATCATATTTAGGAAAGCTCCCCTTGGAGATGTGGTGGGTGGGATTTAAATTTGGATTTATTATACCATGGTATTTTTATGCACATTTTTCCAAAATAATTTGATCTTAAAATAGGGAAACAGCTATTTAAATATTGATTGATAGATTATTAATCATATTGTTCATATATCATTATATACAAATATCCATTGCAGTCTAAACAGTGCTGTTCAAATTTGTTTTTTACAGTAGCAAAGAACTCAGTTCTTTTTTGTCCATGGAATCATCAAAGAAGTAAATGAATGTCTCTTATATTGAACTAAATGCTGAAGGTGAAGCTGAATTCATTCAGCATGAATCATAGGGATGTCATTGTCTTAAACCTAGTATATGTCCAAAAGCATTGGTAATGAATACTGCCGTTCTTCTGGCTGGATAGAGGAGCACTTTGACATTGTACATGGAACACTCTGGCAGGTAAATAATATCACAGTTGTCTTTAAAACTAACTGATCTAAGCCAGACTAAGCTTGGATCATCCACATTCACAGACCACAGGTAATGGATCTGATCAGAATAAAAACAATGTGCTCATATCCAGTAATGACCCATATGTGAGCAACTGCTAATGGCCTTTTTTCATTAGCCTATACCTGCTGACACCAGCTGCTGCCATCTGACTCTCGGGCTAGTCTACAAAATCCAGTTTTCCATATTAAAAGAGGAAGTTTCATATTTGTATTGGCTCACTCCCCACACTTCAGATATTAACAGACCCTCTATGAATCACAATTCTGTTGTTTCATTACACAGTAATGAAGCTTAGTTTTACCAGATCAGAACCCTGGTGACACACAAGCCTGCTGCCAAGACACTAGGCTTTTAGTTCAGCAGTTATTGTTAATGATACCAATAGACATTCCCATTCTCCTAATTCTTTTCTCAGTGTAAACAGCTTGTGTTTTCCAAATAAGAAGAAAACCGCATCTTTCAGCCAGGGAGAAAAATGTTCAATATAAATATATTTTTATTCAACAAATGTTTTGCCCAGATGCCAGTCTAGCATTTTTTTCTTTGCATTTCTGTTCTTTTATATTAAAAATCAAACTCCTACTTTAAACAAAGTGATTACCCCAAACATATACCCAGTTGATGCTTTGAAGCATTTATTTTGAAAATACAACACAGCTTGTTCACTGTTAAAATTATTCTATTTTGAAGCCATGAAGGTAATCACTACATTTGGCACTTACTCTGCTTTGGTTATAAACTGGTCCAAATCTTCCTTACTGCCTCCAGACAAGCCCCTGGACACATAAATGCTATCTGTCCAGGACATTCCTGTCTCCTCCATCTTCAAGTATTTAGGCATTCAGGTTCCCCCCGCCCTCTTGATTACCTTCATTTTAATTTGACACCTCTTCTTAACAGATTTAAGGACCGGATTAAGGTATGGGGAAGACTTGAACTGTCACTGGTAGGTCAGATCAATCTCTTTAAAATGATCCTTCTGCCACAACTATACGTTCTTCATAATTCCCCTGTGGTTATCCCACTGAAACTGTTCCGCATTACTAATTCGATTTTCCGATCCCTTCTATGGCAATCAAACCCTCCTAGAGTTAAATTAGAGCAATTGCAGCGGCCAAATGATGCTGGTGGTTTGGCCTTGCCTAAACACTGGCTCTATTACCTAGCCTCTCAATTACAACATATTGCTCGGGTCCTACACCCGACAGCTGATCTAGCCTTGAATCTCCGAGTTCCCGTCACCAAACTCTTGTGATTCACTGTGGGTACGGAGGTGGCTGAAGGCCTTGAAGCCTCACATTTACTAAATCTAATAAACTTTTCCCAACCTATGCCCTTATGCAAAAAGTATGATAAAAAGTTAGAACGATGCAGCAGGTTACAGGATTTACCAGCTTTAGCCCCATCTGGGATTACTCACAGTATCCAGAACTAGCTCTATTGCAGTATGGCCCCAAATAGAAACACTATGGTGTTACCCATCTAGCCCATAAGTTTCACAAGTTTTGCAGAACTCCAGTCATAATTCCAACTCCCCTCCTCCATGCTATTCTTTTACTTCCAACTTCAACATGCTGTGAGGGCTCAACAAGGTACGGATATCTGGGAGCTATCCCCCACACCTATTTTTAATTCTATGCAAGATGTAACCTCGTATAAAGGGTTCATCTCCCAGACCTACGCTATGTTGCTGAATATTTTTATTAAAGATTACCCGATTACTGTGGTCTCTCAATGGGAGCAGGATGTTGGACAGTTGGATGGGAAACAGAGGGAAGAGGTTTTACTGGTGGTTCAGCAATGGTCTTAACATAGCACAACGCCTCTCACAGCTATATCTGCTTCTAAGGGTTCACTTTACTCATGTTAGGCTGTTCCATATGGGGGTGCGGGCTGATCCCATGTGTACTAGGTGCTGCAGGGATCATGAAGATTTAATACATATGCTATGGAGATGCCCAAAACTATATCGCTATTGGACGGAGGTTTTGGCCACCATCCATAGGGTTTTCCAGGTGACGATATCAGAAGACCCCAAATATTGTCTTTTGGGTATTTTGAGTGATCTTCTGATTGAGGATATTCCAAAGTATGCAGTAGCTAGAGTCCTTTTTAAGGCACGTATATTGATTCTACAACATTGGGCATCTACAGATCCCCCCCACATTGAAGGAATGGATCTCCCAAATGGGGGAGACTATTCAGCTTGAAAAATATATTTACCAGCATAGAGGTTGTATTGGTAAACTTGACAAGCTATGGGCCCCTTGGCTGGAGGTTCCTGGATTAGCCCCAGTTGATGTGATCATAGACCACATCCTGTAAGGCTTTGAAGGTGACATGATCCCCTCTCTCAGGTATTTACACGTGTGATAATATTTATGACACTATATATATAAGTATTTTAAATATTCTACTATGGAGCTGGCAATTATTACCTTTGGGTGTGTAGATGAAGTGACAAATGTATGCTGCTGTTTGTAACATGGAATTTAACTTATAGTGCTCTGGTCTGGTCTTTTGAAGGTGTTTTTTATGGTTTAACCACCTCCCGCCCGTCATATAAGGTAATGACGGGCGCAAGGTTGTTCTCTCGCTCTGGGAGGATGTCATATGACATCCTCTAACTCTAACCGCACGTGCGCGCCCCCGGGGGACACAAAGCGGATCACCGATCAACGGAAAGAGCCAATGACGTCGGATCTGTCATGTGATCAGCTGTGTCCAATCACAGCTGATCACATGTAAATAAGGAAATGCTGGTTATCAGCATTCCTCTCCTCACGAGCTGCCACGCTGACAGCTCATGAGGAGAGGAGAGCCGGTAATCGGCATTACTCAGAGGGGACATGTACACTGATCATCAGGGCACTGATGATCAGTGTGCCCTGATGATCAGTGTGCCCTGATGATCAGTGTAGCCCCATCAGTGTCACCTGTCAGTGTCCATCAATGCCACCTGCCAGTGCCCATCAGTACCACATCAATGCCACATATCACTGCCTACCAGTGCACATCAATACCACATATCAGTGCCCATCTGAGCTGCCATTCACTGCCACCTATCAGTGCGCATCAGTGCCACCTATCAGTGCTAGTCAGTGCTGCCAATCAGTGCCATCTATCAGTGCCAGTCAGTGCTGCCTATCAGTGCCAGTCAGTGCTGCCTATCAGTGCTGCCTATCCATGTCTTTCAGTGCCGCCTAACAGTGCCAGTCAGTGCCACCTAACAGTGTCAGTCAGTGCCGCCTATCAGTGCCATCTACCAGTGCCATATATGAGTGCTGCCTTTCAGTGCCCACCAGTGATGCCTGTCAATGCCCATCAGTGCCACCTACCAGTGCCTCCTCATCAGTGCCCAGCAGTGCTTCCTTTCAGTGCAGCCTATCAGTGCCCATCACTGCAGCCTCATTTTATTACAAAATTGTATAACAGAAACTAAGAAAAAAACTTTTTTTTTCAGAAATAATTGAGTACTGACTTGATACTTTTTTTATTTGCACTAACATACAATTTTGAGGACAAGCTTTTGGGGTATGTCCCCTTCTTCAAGGTCCAGGCAGTACTAATACGGCTACAATCACCTCAAGCAAAATGGAAGATATTTTTTTTTCAAAATTTTCAGTTGTTTTTGGTTTGTTTAGCAAAAAATAAAAAACTCAGAGAGGATTAAATACCACCAAAAGAAAGATCATATGGGTACAGTGTTGCTTGATCACGCAATTGTCATTCAAAGTGCGATAGCACTGAAAGCTGAAAATTGGCCAGGGCAGGAAGGGGGTATAAGTGCCCAGTAGGCAAGGGGTTAATAAAACTTTGTTTTCAGAGGAAAAAAAATTATTCTATTTAAACATTATATTTTTGTTTTTAATTGACATCTGGGTATGTCTGCAATAAGAAAGTGAGGATTTATGGAATTCTTAAGCTTTGTTTATTGCATTCCAAGCACTGTATATTTTGTTATACAGCTTCAGACTTTGCTTGCACTGTGCAGAAACTGGCAGAAAATTACATGGCTGAAGGATTCATCAGTTCATCCCACTTTTGTCCCCAGCCAGCCCCACCAGTTCACGACCATTCTAAAAATTTTGACATTTTCCAAGAGATCAAACCCCTATGATAACAGCTGACACTAAAAGGAGGTAAGTACCATATAACCAGATGGTCCTCTGTTTTATAACCATTCTGCATCTCCAGAGACAAAAAACTTCTTTACCCTTCAAGCTGCTATGACAGTTTTCCACAATGCCATCCTAGTTTGCTTATCAAACATGATGGAAGATGGATGGAGCAACTTCTTTCTCCCATCAGGCTTTCTAAAATGACTTCCAAGAAGTCCATAGTGCCTATCTCAGTGGCTCCTCCCTGTCATCTGACCCTTGTCTACAAATCATACATCCAAGTTGGGGAAATTAATTTGGCGGAGCTTATGCACAGTGAGGTCCTCGTGTTTCTGGGAAAGAGGAGGGGTGCAGTAAGGACAGAAGTTCTGGAGCAGCACAGGGTGCTTCTCCAGACCAAACAGTTGCAGCCATTTTACCCTAAGTGCTAGGAGAGAACTTTTTGTATTGTAAGTATCTTTCTATTCATTTTTTTTTATTATTAATAAATTTGGTTACGCTATGATGGTATTTCCTTTATGTTTCATATGTCATCCTCAAGATGAGACGAGCTTTATGGGAAACTTACAGTGATCCAGAATAACTCTAGTTGTAAATTTAAATGATCTGAGAGCCATGGATAATGGAATGCTTACCCTAAAGCTTTGCTGTGTCTCCATATTGCTCATAGATCTAGCACCTTACTAAACCAGTAAAAACAGAGGAGGCTTTCTACTTTCCTTGTTCCTTTGTTGGTTTCTGTCTCCCGCTTACATATTGGGCAATCTGCTTTTTGGTGTAGGGCCTCCTGGCTCTTCTGTAACACTTCCCCCTCCCCCTCGAGAACATAGAAAGATGTATTGGGGTTATGAGGGGAGAAGATCCCAACTCATCCTTCTTTGTTCCTTTTCATCTTTTCACAATTTATCTACCCCTGAGTAGCCACTATTTCACCTGCTCCATCCCTAACAATATGGGTATCTCCCCCCTCCTACCACCAAAATAAGGTAATGTGACCTTTTTAGTTCAAACTCACAGTGTGAGCTCAAGATAATACCTCTCTCTCCCATTTAGCAAGTGTTTACCATACCTCCTGACCAGCATCCATCCAGACTTCGGGCATTCACAGTTATATACACCAAGAAATACACAAAAGATCTTTGGACAATTTCATATTTATGACCAATGCATTTGGTTTATACTACTTCACTGTCATGTTACACTATTATTTGACTACGAAGTTTAACCAATGGTTCCTTTTTGATGCCTTATTGTACATCTTGTAAATATTGTTTTCTTCTCAATAAAAATTTATTGAACAGGAAAAGTGAGATGATTTATACTTGCAGATCATGTCATGTCATATTCTCCCATGAGTAACTATTCATACTCAAACAGCTTTTGACGCAGAGTCCAGAGCCACCTGAGTAATTTTCATTCCCAGGCAAAGTATGTAAACATATCCATCATAAAGGCTCTTTATGATGGATGTAGATGTCAATACATCATATGCTGTATGTGTCCAGTGCTGAACTAAAATCTAAATTGTTACTGAAAGTTCCTTTCACTGAAAACTGTTTTTATGGTAGACTTTTTGTCATAATGTGACCAAAACTAAGGTAATACCACAGCCCTAGATACAAAGTCAGAGGCTCATGAGTAGAAGCCTTTATATGAAAAATCTATATATTAGCCATTTAAAGACCAACTGTTTTACCCTCTTCCAGTCCAGGCCAATTTTAATTTTTCAGCACTGTCACACTTTGAATGACAATTATTTTGTCAAGCAACACTGCACACAAATTAATTTTATATCATTTTTTGAGACAGATAGAGCCTTCTATTGGTGGTATTTAATCACTACTTGGTTTTGTACCTTTTACTACAAAAAGGAGAAAAACATTTTGGAAAAAAAAGATTTTGTTATAAAACGTTGCAAATAAATAATCTTTCTTTATAAATTTAGGGCAAAATGTAAATTTCTTTGGTGAAGAAAAAATCAGTGTATACTATTTAGTCTGTGTGGCAATTGTAGAGTATACAAACTATGAAATAGTTTGAGAAGTTGAAGAAACGAAATAACATTTTTTTACAAACTTGTAATTTTAAATTATCTCTTGTACGATGAATAGGCATACTTACAATTACACACCCCCCCCCCCCCCCCACCTTACCCCCTGAAAAAAGACATTTTCCTACTCCTCCCAAGTATTGGGATAGCATATGTGTGAGATTTTTTCATAGCCTAGATGCATAAAAGGGTCCAAAATTCTAGGAAAACCTTTATGCTTTTAAGGAGCATGAATTAAGCATCTAATTTTATGACTTCCTATCACATTTCTTGAGTCCCTGAGGTGCCAGGACTGGAGAAACACTTACAAAATGACCACATTTTGGAAAGTCCTTTGAAAATGCCATTTTTGTTTGCCACAAGTTTTTGGAAAATGCAGAATGAAAATGAACATATGTTTTTTTCAATAAGGTATTTGTAACATGCAGCATCTGCATACTTAGAATTACATCTCAAAACACAGTCTGTTACTCCCAAGTATGGCGATACTATGTGTGAGACCTGTTTACAGCTTAACCACATAGAGAGGCCCAAAATCCAAGGAGTACCTTCAGGCTTTCTAGGGGCATAAATTATGCATCTTATTTTCCTGACTACCTTTGGGGATACCATGTGTAAGACTTTTTCAATATTTGGACTGATTAGGTATTGGACATTGTATTTTGTGTAACACAAAAATAAACAAACCTTATCAAAAACTATGTACTGTAATTATCACTCTGTACTAGTGGTCAGGGAATATAGCTTAGTGTAACATCAATTGTAGCAGTCCTAGTTCTTTTAAGACAAGCAAGCCTAGCCTACTGGTACATGGCTGCCCCCACCTGTGGTGGTGATCAGAAACAATGAATGGCTCCACTGACCTACAGTTATATCAGAGCAGCCACCTGTTGTACATGATTACTGCCACAGCAGAACAATGTCACCATAGTGACATCGCACTTTCTCCATTGCCCGTATGTAAAAAAAAATATATATATATATATACAGGGTTAGACAAGCCCGCTGTTGACTGACATCACTCAGCCGATCCAGGCTGGTGAAAGATCCCAACTTTTAAGGTCAGGATCCACCCCAGAGTCTGGAGCTGCAAAAGGCTCAGCCTCTCAGCAATCTGCTGAGAGCCTGAGCCAGCCGCTCCCTCCATGTCTCCAGCTAAGTGCTCCAGTGAGGGACAGAGCAGACAGTGGTGACTAACAGAGCGGCTCTGTTCAGAGCGGCTGTGAGAACTCAGCGATCAGCAGTCATGTGATCGATGAGTTCTCACACTTAGAGCCAGCGGGGAACAGATGCAGCATCGTACCAATGCTGCATCCACCTAGGTAAGTATAATTTGGGGAAATAAACAAACCCCATACTTCTCTTTTAACATCTTCAATGGACAACAGTATTCAAGTCAATAAAATCTCTACTGTTTTCTGTTATTACTCTATACAGAACAATCAGTGCAGTCAAACCAAAAAATTCTGCCCAAACCAAACAAACAAAAATTACAAACAAGGGTTGCAGGCTAAACACTAGGAAAGTGATTTCACCACGCTTTCAAACTAACAAAATCCAAACAATAGTGCTGCACAGCCTGTAAAATATATTACAAAATATCCATAAATGTGTAATAGAATAAAGTAATGTTCCACATTGCATAAAGTTCACAATAATCTTCACAAATGATGCAATAAAGTCAGTGGAAAATATAAATCCACCACAGTGCATCAAAGTGATGACTTATATAATACAAAACTCGGGCGTCAATATGTGCCTCCACCAAATAGTGAATAATGGCTGCTTTCCTTCCATATATGACCACTGAATCAACAGTAAGGTCACTAGAGCGCTTACCATATTCAGGGGTTAATTTTCCGCTGTCTTTAAAATTTCTTCTCCCCTTTCTACCTGACTCCAAGCATAGGTTACATTTCATGAAAAAACACAAAAAGAGCCTCTAGTGTTCTCCATAAAACCTTTAATACTGCCCAACAATATAAAGTAGACTTACAGGACAAGGCACTTTTCCAAAAAAAGTGCTAAAAAAAAGCGTGTGTACACAGGACCGGCTACCAACCGATGGCAAGATGGCCATTGGATAATGTCACGAGTAGG